TATATAACTGGGGTGTTGCTTTTACTTGTCATATGCTCTTAGATTTTGTCTTAGAAGATCCCTTTTTAAAATATTGCTGTTTTGATACAAGGTATCACTATGCAAACCTGACTGGCCTGGAACTTGGTATAGATAAAGGCACACACCCAGCTTTGTATGTGTGCTTTTCTGTAGCACCAGGGATTGAGTTGAAGTACTTAGCTGTATCCCTGGCCTGTGGCATATCTTTAAATTTGCTATCTAAGGGAAGTTTTACTCAAGCATCCTAACCTGCCTATGTCCAAAAAAGCTTTAAAGGCTTTAGATCATAGTAGATGTTTATTGAATATAGGGCAGAGTGGTTGATGTAGTGAGTATGTTGTAGTGAATGGTATTGCAGTATTAGCATAAACTCAGGCTGTTATATTTGGTAGGGTAGGAGTGTGGTTAATCTTGAGGAGGACTAGTTACTTATAGATTGGAAGACTAAATTCATTTGCCATTAGCATTTGATAAATACGTTTTCTTAATAGCTAAGTGGTCGGGCATTGTGGTGCAAGCTGTAATCCCAGTACTCACGAAGTTGAAGCAAGGTCAGTGTTTGAGGTTAGCCTGTGCTAAATAGCCAGACCCTGTCCTGAAAATTAAAGGGCTAGAGAGATGGCACAGCAGTTTAGAGCACTAGTTTCTGCTCTTGCAGAAAACCCAGGTTTGATTTCCAGCATCCACACAATGGATTACAACTATCTACAGCCCTGTAACTCCAGCAGATCCAACAGACGTGCATATACTGCATATACATGCGTGTAGACAACATTCATACACATAAAATAAATCTAAAAATTTTTTAAAGCCAAAGTAAGATAAAGTTATATATGGATTAAAATATATAATATTTTATATATAAAATATTATAACTTAGAAGTTGTTCCTGATAAAGTATATGTACAGATTGGATTATAAAGTCCCTTAACAAAACAGCTGTTTCAGAACTGGGGCCTTGTAGTTCATCTTCTCTGGGAGCTGAGACAAGAATATTGTAAATTCAAGGCCCACCTTGGCTACAGAGTAAGTTGATGACCAGCGTACACCATTTAGTGAGACTCTGTCTCAGAGAAAACATAAAAATGATCTGTGGTGCTGGGTGGTGGTGGTGCATGCTTCTAATCCCAGCACTCGGGAGGCAGAGGCAGGCAAATCTCTGTTAGTTCGAGGATAGCCTGGTCTACAAGCGAGTTCCAGGGGTAGCCAGGGCTACACAGAGAAACCCTGTCTTGAAAAAAACTAAAAAGATGTGGGGAAAGCTGGGTATAGTGGGCACGCCTTTAATGCCAGTACTTGGGAGAGGTCAGCCTGGTCTACATAGCAAATTCCAGGACAGCCAAGGCTACATAATGAGACCTTATCTGAGACCCACTTCCCCCCAAAAAGGACTTAAGCATTCGCAGGGCAATCCCCGCACCCCACCCCGCAAGGCAGTTGGCAAGTGTTTCTAGACTCTCTAGGATATATACATGTATGTTTATATACTAGTTTTCCTTATTTCAATTGTATTTATTCAATGTCCTATATATATTTGTATTTTATAAATAGTTTTGTAATTAATTTCTTTTTGGGAGGGCAGGTTTCAAGACAGGTTTCTCTGTGTAACAACCCTGGCAATCCTGGAACTTGCTCTATAGACCAGACTGACCTTGAACTCACAGAGATCCATCCACTTGCCTCTGCTTTCCAAGGGTTGGAATTAAAGACATGTGCCACCACGACTGGCAATTAATTTCTTTGTATATACTTCTGTGTAATTTCTAAGTCAGAGTATATTTGAAAAGATGAGGTGTTGGTGGTGCACACTCCTATAATCCTAGCACTTGGGAGGCAGAGATATAGGTAGATTTCAGAGAGTTTGAGGCCACCTTGGTCTTCATAGCAAGTCCCAGGACAGCCAGGGCTACATAAAGACACCTGTTTGTATATGTATGTAAAGTTCTAGGAGATTATTAGCAGTTTGAAGTTCTTAAATTTGGCATATCCAACAATTATTCCAAAATATCTAATATTGAATTTTGTCATTGCAATCTTTCCAGTAAGGAAAAAAATACCTTGATTTATCTGATATCTTCACTAGGGATATTAAATATCTTTTCATATATTGAATGGCCTTTTCAGTTTCTCTCGTAATGAGTTGTGTCTTTTGCTGATCTATTGGAATATTTGGTTTTTCTTACTCTTAGGTAGGAGGACATTTTAAGATTTCCTAACTCAGTGTCATGTATGTTGTAAATGTTTGCAAATTTGTAATGTAAGCTTATGTTGACTTTTTCCATTCAACTTGATGTGTCTTTTCTTATTATTTTATGCATTGTTAAATTATTCATTGATATTCTTATGATTCAAAAACAACATGCATGCTGCATCCCCAAGTGTAACTCTTTTTCACTACTAAGTTACAGTATCATTTGCTTATTTTTCTTGTCTTTATATGTGATAGAAGATAGGAAGATATTAAGTGTCTCTTTTTTCCAGATAGCTTCAGAAATAGTATGCCAGTCTTATAAATGCATTCCCTTTACTGTGAAATATGCCTTAATCACAAATTATGTATCCATATCATGTGGATTTGTTTCTGAATCCTTTTTTTTTCTGCTAGAATTTTAAAAAATACATAAATGAGTAAATAAATAAATATGTTGAGACAAGTCATCACCCGAGTAACTCAAACTAACTGAATTCAGTGACCCTCATGCTGCCACATCCTTGCAAGTGTTGGGATTACAGGAATGTCATTAAGAAAGTGGTTTTGTAGTGTTTTTTGATATTGAGTGAGGTTTCCCTAATACTCCTTATTAAAAATTACATGACTGATTTTCATATAAGCCCTTAATATAACCTCCTAAAAGCCAGTGAGAATGTTTTGGTCCCATCCAAGGCTTAGAGCAAAATAAATAAAAATTGCTGGATTTAGAGAAATTTGGAATTGTTATATTTTGAATTCAGGAACCAGGACATCACCATTTAGATTGTCTTTTGTTTGTTTGTTTGTTTGTTTGTTTGTTTTTTGAGACAGGATCAATATATCTTGGCTAATCAGGAATTTACCGTGTAGACCAGGCTGACCTCGAACTCACAGAGATCTGCCTGCCTCTGCCTTCCAGTGTTGAGATTAAAAGCATGGGCCACTAGCCCAGTTTAGATTGTTTTATATTTCTCTCTGAAGCTGTTTAGTTTTTTCATAGTATTCTTCATGTTTTTTGATGTTGTTTCATTATTTTGAATGTGGTTTTCTTCTCTTACTTGCTG